GCAGGTGCCCGTGGAGGCCAGAAGAGTGTGTGGGATTCTCTGTAGCTGGGGTAACAGGTGGTTGTGAGCTGTCCAACATGGGCACTGGGGACTGAGCACAAGTCTTGTGGAAGAGCAGCAAGGGTCCTTAGCCACTGTGCAGTCCTCAGCCCTTGTCGTTTTAACTGGCAGTTCTCTAGTTACCAGAGAGACGCACTGTCTTCTCACACATCTGTGGTCCAGGTTCCCCACGTGAACCCTCTGCTCACACCATCTGCTGTTCTGTCTGCCTGCTCAGACTCCCTGACTGCGCTGCTGTGTTTCCTCTGCTTTCAAACTTGTTTTCCTTGGTGTGTGTGTGTGTGTGTGTGTGTGTGTGTGTGTGTTGTTTGGTTTTGAGACAGGGTCTCTTTGTAACTCAGGCTAGTTTCAAACTCACATGCCTCTTGCTCATTTCCCCCAGTGCTGGGATTACAGGCATGCACCACCTTATTTTAGAACAACTCACACTGGTTCGTCTATCCGTCCGTCTGCCCTTGCTTCCTTCCTTCAGTCCATCCTTCCTTCCTTAAAATGTTAGGTATTTATTTATTTATTTTTGGTTTTTCGAGACAGGGTTTCTCTGTGTAGCTTTGCGCCTTTCCTGGAACTCACTTGGTAGCCCAGGCTGGCCTCGAACTCACATTATTTTTATGTGTATGAGGATTTTGCCTGCATACATGCCTGCCTGGTGCCCTCAGAGGCCAGAAGACGGTACTAGATCCTCTGGATTTGGAGTCACAGATGGTTGTGAGCTGCCATGTCAGTGGTGGGAACCCAGGTCCTCTGGAGGAGCCAGCTGGTGTGAATGGATGTTTGAACCTCATGTTTCCTGCTGTCCTCTGTCGTACTGCCCTCTCCTCATGTCCTGAGGCGATCTCGGTGGCCTTCCCCTCTCTGTTCTTTGGAAAACTGTTTCAGGCAATCTTTTGATGGGATCTTACTGTGTAGTCCCTGCTGGCCCAGAACTCCCTTTCCAGTGGTATTTCAAGTTGTCTTGTTTTGTTTTAATCGAGTAAGTTTTGACCAGTTACATTTTTTGTGTATAAGATTGTTTCATAGGGGCAGGTGGATCTCTGTGAGTTCGAGGCCAGGCTGGTCTACAAAGTGAGTTCCAGGACAGCCAGGGCTACACAGAGAAACCCTGTCTTGAAAAAACAAAAAAACAAACAAGATTGTTTCCTGTGGAGCTGTCAGATGGTTTCTCTGATGTTGCTCCTGGGTTCCCACCCTGTGCACGTCCAGCTTGTTGTCAGCCCTCTTCCTCCTGACGTTGTGGTGTTTGCTGTGCCTTCTTTGATTTCCTGACCTGTTTGACTTTGCTTTCTTGTTTCTGTTGTTATTGTTGCGTAATATTTCATTTCTGCCCTGTTTTGATCTGTTTCTACTAGCCATCCTCACTGCCTTTTTTGCACAGTTAATTCATACCAAACTTACCATATTGACCACTTTTTTTGGTCTTTTTTTTTTTAATTCTTCTGAACAAAGATCCATTTGTGGTATTATTTTTGTTGAATGTCTTTTTTGTTGTTTGCTTTTTAAAAGGATCACTCTTGAATGGTGGTTTATTTGGACATAGGATACAAGGGTGACCTTTTCAAAGCCCGGGTTTAATACAGCCCATCTCACTGCTCTGTCCATGGATAAATAAATATGCCCTTCTTGCTTCTGTGCTTCTGAGGGGTGTGTGTGTGTGTGTGTGTGTGTGTGTGTGTGTGTGTGTGTGTGTGTGAGAGAGAGAGAGAGAGAGAGAGAGAGAGAGAGAGAGAGCCCATGCACGTACTATATTACATTTGACTTGTGCCTGTTGAGTCTAAAGACTCTTAGGCCTGTGCTGAAACCTGGAAAGTTCTTCCTTTGTTTGTTTTGGTTTTTGGTTTTGTTTCTTTTTGTTTAGACAGGGTTTCTCTGTGTAGCCCTGGCTGTCCTGGAACTCACTCTGTAGACCAGGCCAGGCTCGAACCCACAGAGATCCACCCGCCTCTGCCTCCCAAGTGCTGGGATTAAAGGCGTGCGCCACCACCACCTGGCTGAAACCTGGAAAATTCTTAGCCATTATCTACACACCTGTTTAGTTTTTGTCTGTCTTCTGTTCTGCAGGACTGTCTGTTGACATGGGAACCAGACGTCGTTCTGGTCTTCCTGTCTTAGGAGGTTTTAGATGATGGACTATCTATCACACATTCAAAAGGACAACTTTAAAACCATGGTGAGATGGAAGTTAGAAACGTTTATAGTGTCACACAGAGCAAACACCGTTGAGCCCACCTGCACTAAACAATAGCGTATTCCCAGGGGACAAGTCAGCGAGGCGTCCGTCTCCTGTGGCTTTTGTAGGACTGCAGTGAGAAATGGGTGAACCCATCTCCTCCTCCTTTAGGGAGAGACGTGCTGGAGATGTGCTGCGGAGTCTCTGATGCAAGAGGCAAGAAGGCAGTCCGGTTCAGCATGACGAATGGCTAATGTTGGCTCAAACTTCGGGAGTCTGACCCCAAATAGTTTATTATAGGCATATTAGGCACAGCACAATTTGGTGAAAACTTTGCTGGTGATAATTAACTCAATCCCATGTGCACAGTAAAGACATGACTACATCGAAACTCTTTGTAAAGTACATGTGACCTCTTCCATAAAGATGGGTTTGACAGATTGACTACATGTGACACCTTCCATGAAGATGGGTTTTGTAGATTGGCAAGCTCATGCTAAGGGTCTAGTGGAGGGTAGTGCAAAGGTCACCAGGCTGTTAACCATGTCTGCTCCCAGCCTTCTGGGTGGGTCACAGGTTATGCATCTCTTCCTTTGAAGGAACAACCCTGTGTGTTTAACATTCCTGGTTCCCCTTGTGCTTATCCATGAGCACAAGAGCCTCCGTGCCTCCCACATTATGATAGATAGGGTGGATCCCAGTGTTTGCTGAATTCTGCAGTGTGTCACGTCCTGGGACACTAACAAACCCTGGACCTTGTTTGACTTGCTTAGTGTCACATCTGCTGGTAGAGACCAAACTGTCAGTATTCCGTTACCGGTGAAGAACTGGGAAGGGCCCAACAGCTAGGAGCCCACACTTGGGAAATGGACGTCACTCTGGCCTGGCGGTCTTGGTCCTGAATGCTGTGCTTTGCCAGATTCTTTTATGATGTGGTGTCCACTGGCATTTCCTGTTTTCCTTTTTCTTTTTGTTGCAATGCTGGGGACTGAACCCGAGGTCTTGTGTATGCTAGGTAAGCATTCTGCCACTGAGCCAGATCCCCAGCCGCTGTGTTTAATGACTTCTGCATGCAGAGCTGCAGGTCTGGACATCTTTAAGCCTCATCATAGATCACGTCTTCTTAGCAACCCTTGTCCATGCTGTGACAATGCACACTGTCACTGGAGCCTTCGTGGATGCCCTCTTGGACTCCACTCCTTGGTGAGCACAGGGTTGCCCCTTCCACATCGAGCCTCCAGCACTCAGTGTAATGTCTGTCAATAATGATGTACAGGTAACATGTATTGGTTAATTCTTAGTGGTGGGGTAATGTAGATACTGTGCCCGAAGAACCACCGATAGTAACCGTTTTGTGAAGTGCCTGTTATGTCCCAGGTGTTGTAAGTCACCTTTACATATTTTACACCACAACGCAGTTGTCTTGAGTGGCCCCAAGTTGTTAGATTGGCTTGTTAGATTCTAACACATAACACGGGCACTTTGTGGTAACTTTGAACAACATCTTCTTCTTAGTGGAATATGGAACTGGGTGAGAAGGTCCAGCCCAGTGTGAGAACCAACTGGAAAGGTCCAGCATGGTGTGAACTGGACTGTGAAACCAGGTGGAAAGGTCCAATGTGGTGTGAACTATACTGTGGAACTGAGTGGGAAGGTCCTGCCTGGTGTGAACTGGACTTGTAACCGGATGGAAAGATCCAGCATGGTGTGAGCTGGACTGTGAAACCAGGTGGAAAGGTCCAATGTGGTGTGAACTATACTGTGGAACTGAGTGGGAAGGTCCTGCCTGGTGTGAACTGGACTTTGTAACCGGATGGAAAGATCCAGCATGGTGTGAGCTGGACTGTGAAACCAGGTGGAAAGGTCCAACGTGGTGTGAACTATACTGTGGAACTGAGTGGGAAGGTCCAGCCCAGTGTGAGCTGGACTGACTGGTGTTTCTGTTGATGGAGGTGTTACAGCCTCACCTTTTAGCCCCTGTGCAGTAGCTCCAGCTTTCCTTTAGACTAAACAGTCAGTCATTTCTTAAGCAGTCACCACATATACTCCGCCAGCTTGTTCTCTTAAGCTTAGGTGGGCTGGAGAAGTGGATCAGCAGTTTGAGAGTTTATACTGCTCTCACAGAGGACCCAAGTTCACTTTCCAGCTCAGAGCTGCCTATAACTCCAGCTCCAAGTGGATCAGCATCCCTGGTCTCCACAGGCACGGCATTCCTGTACACACAGATCACATAATTTAGAATAAAATAAACTTTTAAAAAGGGAATTATATTTTATATTTTATGTAATACCAAAGCCCCCCTTAACCCAGTAAAACTTGTCTACAACAATATGACTGCTATAGGACTATATTTTAGGAAAAAGACATGAATTCTCTTTGCTATTTTGTCTTTCTTTTTTTGTTTGTTGTTTTTCAAGACAGGGTTTCTCTGTGTGGCCCTGCCTGTCCTGGAACTCACTTTGTAGACCAGGCTGGTCTCAAATTCAGAAATCCACCTGCCTCTGCCTCCCAAGTGCTGAGATTAAATGTGCGCACCACCACCACCTGGCTGTCTTTGCTGTTTTTAATGCAGACAAAATATTTTGGTTCTAGAATTTTGGGTCCTTGTAATGGGATGGAGTGCCGTTAGTAACTGTTCTAGAGTGAAAATGGATGGTTCCTCCTGTTGGCCCCGAAGAAGAGGAGCATGATCAAACACAGACTGCAGCACCTGGGGTGGGGATGAGGAGGAAGTGCTGATGGTGTTACATGATTGGTTTGTCTCTTCTTTCAGACGGGGCGAATTGACAAATCCTACCCCACAGTATGTGGCCACACAGGACCAGTGCTGGACATAGACTGGTGTCCACACAACGATCAGGTTATTGCCAGCGGCTCAGAGGACTGCACTGTTATGGTAAGTGCCTGGGGTGTGGCATGACGCATCCTAGCTGTGTTGAGCCCATTGGCTTCTACATTAAGGCTGAATGACAAGCCTTGTGTCAATGAGTTGTATGTTCTCTGTTCTTTTCTGTCTGGGGATGACGACCTGCCCATTGAGAGTTGATATCCATAGGGAAGATCTGAGTGCAAGTAAGATGAGCACCCTACCAAAAAATGGAGTGAAGAAGACTGTTGTCCTAAACTGTGCTCCAGGGCAGCACACTGCCCAAAGTTGTGCAGATAAAGTAGACTAATAGTAATATTGGGGTCAATTGGAGCAGGGCAAGGGCTGCCTTCCACGCTGATGTTGGAAGGTATTTCCACCTGCTGCTGAAGAGGTATGTTAGGTTTTGTTTTAACCTGTATTATATGTGTATGGGTGTTTTGCTTATGTGCATCCCTATCTGTGCACCCTGTAAATGTAGCATCCACATTGGCCAGAAGAGGGCATTGGGACTGGAGTTAACAAATCATGAGCTGCCTGCCACATGGGAGCTTGAACCCAGGTCCTTTGTAAGAGCAGTGAGTGTTCTTAACCACTGAGCCATCTCTCTGGCCTCAAAAAGTTTGTTTTGAAGAAGTGCTGTTGAAACTCCTCTGATGATCCTCCTGCCTCAGCTTCCCAGTTATTTCCTCAAGGCACCTTTCAGGAGACAGCCTCCTGCTCCTGAGTGTACACTTTCAACAGGACTACTGACTTGGACCCATTTTCAGTGTGTGCTGGTAGTTTGCGTCAACTAAACACAAGCTAGAATCATCTAGGAAGAAAGAATATCTATCAGTTGAGAAAATGCTCCCACTAGATTAGCTTCTGGGCAAGCCTTTGGGACGTTTTCTTTTTTTTTTTTTTTTTTTTTTCTTCAAGACAGGGTTTCTCTGTGTAGCTTTGCGCCTTTCCTGGAACTCGCTTTGGAGACCAGGCTGGCCTCGAACTCACAGAGATCTGCCTGGCTCTGCCTCCAGAGTTCCATTTTCTTTCTGTTGTCTGTGGACCAAAACATTGTTTAGGGTGCTTTATTACTAAAATAATGTGCATAGGCAAATTAGTTCCTGAACTGCGTTATTTAAACCTTTCCCCACCTTCCTCCCTCGTGGGCTTTTGGCAGCTGAAAGCAAAGCGTATTGAACGTGCTGCCGGTAAAGGAGTCCTTCTGTGTGTGTGCTTGCTGGACTGATGGCCAATGACCGTGGATATGTTTGCTGTGGAAGGGAACACAGGTTAGACCTGATGCCAGAACCTACAGCTGAGAGTCCTGACTGCTGTGGAGAAGCCGGTCTGATCTGTTTGCTCATTGCCAGCCTTACTGATCATGTTACCCCTTAAAACAACTTCCATAAAACACCAGTATTTAAAGAATGTCGAGGTGAAGTGAATGGAGTGGGCGGGTGATTTCTTACTCTGCCACCCTCCATGCCCTCCCCACACCCTCTACCCTGTGAGTGTCTCTTTCTTTAGGATGCTGCTCGCTCACCTGTGCCTCTCTAAACACCAGGTCGGCATTGCAGTTTAAAAACTGCACAGCAGCGTACAAGTCTTTCCCCCGTCTGTCAGTTTCTTACCGGACGCCTGTTGTAGAATGCTGATGTTGTGATCTGTACTTTGCAACTGTCTGGATTTTGCTGGCTGTCCTTCTGGAGCAGGTCAGGGGCTCCGGCCTGAATTTCCTGCAAATGTGAAGCTAGATCCCACAGTTGATGTAGGTCCAGCCCCTGAGGCAAGGCTCCTGTGGTTTTGTCCTGTTGGGTTTGCACAGCTGTTAGAGCTTCGTTCGTTCGTTCCTACAGCTCGTGACTCTTTAAGGAGCCCAGGGTGGCTCTGTAGCTGCTTCTGCTCTGTTCTCCAGTTTGAACCAGTTCACCCAGTGCTGCTCTCTTGTTTTCTCGTCAGTTACCTGGTATTCGGATTGCCTAGGAAGGGGATGGGGGTAAGCACCTGATTCTTCGGTTTACCCTGTTTCCAAGGTGACAAGTTAGCACTCCATCATCCCTTCACTCTATTTGAACATATTTGATCAGTTTCAAAACTGTCGTGTCTCCAAGCTCAGCCTGCCCTATCTTCTCCCCTGAGACCCAAAGTGGCTGTGCAATCTTTAATCACTTTCCTGTGATTCATACAAGGGTCTCAGGCTCACCTTGGGCATCTTTGCCAGACTTGGATTGGCCTTTTCTGTTACACCCTGGTTTCTTTGAGTGGAAAGTGATGTTTCTGTGTCATGGTCTGGGTGCCAGGGGTAATTGTGACCACTGTGTCATTGTTGCTCATTCTTAGTAACCTCAGAGCAGTGCTTCTCAGCCTTCCTAATGCTGCAACCCTTTGATACAGTTCCTCGTGCTGTGGTGATCTCAACCATGACATCATTTTCGTTGCTACTTCATAACTTTAATTCTGCTGTGTTACGATTGTAATGTAAATAGTGTGGTTTTTAAAATAAAAATTTTATGTGTATGAGTGTTTTACCTACATGTATGTATGTGTACCTTGTGTATAAATGGAGCCTATAGAGCCCAGAAGTGGGTGTTGGATCCTTCGGAACTGGATTTATAGATAGTTGTGGGCTGCCTTGTGAATGCAGGGAATTGAACCCTGCTCCTCTGGAAAAGGAGCCAGTGCTCTTAACTGAGGAGCCATCTCTTCAGCCCTGACCATAGTTTATAAGGAGGACAATGGCTTTTAAACTCATGCTGTTGCTTTTCTCCATCCATTACTAAAGTTGTTCAAGCTTGGTATGGATCCAGTTCGACACCTGTTACCACAGCACTCTGGAGACTGAGACAGGAAGATCACAAGTTTGAGAGCATTCTGGGCGGCCCTGTCAATAAAAAGAAGTAGTCATCCCTCAGGACCACTGACCCAGAATCTAGAATGCACGCATGTTCCAATGTTCCCGTCATCTGTATTAAATGTCTGGTGTTGCGTATAACCTATGTGTCCATTATACACAGATCGTCTGTACAGATATGTGTTACACAGATCTGTAGATTACTTACAATCCCCAGCACGATGTAAGTGCCATATAACTGGTTCTTAAGTTGTATTGGTTAGGAAATAACAAGTCTATACATGTTCAGTACATCTTTATCTCCCCCAGCCACAAACACACACCAGTCTGCCGTTGACAAACTCATGACCCACAGATGAAGATCTGACTGGGTATTGTTAGATTTTCTTTTGGCAAATGGCGTTGCTGTGAAAGTCAGAAAATTAGTTTTCTTTTCCTTATCAGGCATTCCTTTTGCTTAGTTACAGGTTTTTTTTTTTTTTCAAACTGTTATATTGTTGGTAATTCAGAAATCAGTGCTCCGCCAGGTGGTAGTGGTGCATGCCTTTAATCCCAGCACTTGGGAGACAGAGCCAGGCAGATCTCTGTGAGTTCAAGACCAGTCTGGTCTACAGATTGAGTTCCAGGACAGGCAGGGCTACACAGAGAAACCTTGTCTCAAAAAACAAAACAAAACAAAAACAAACAAACAAAAAAAAGAATCAGTGTTCCTAAATACAGGGTGGTATATTAATATAGTCTTTAAAAAATTTTTAGATTTGTGTGTTTTATTTTATGTGTATGAATGTTTGGTCTACATGCATATATGTTCACTACATGTATGCCTGGTGCCCAAAGAAGCCAGAAGAGGGCATAGGATCCCTTGGAACTGGAGCTACAGATGTTTATGTTATGAGCTGCCACATGGGTGCTGGGAGCAGAACCCAGGTCCTCTATAAGAGCAGCCAGTGGTCTCAACCACTGAGCCATCTCTCCGGCCCCCTAGTTTCAAGTCATTCCCCCACCCCGGAAAATTATCCCAAATCATCAGGGGATTTTTTTGGTTGTTGTTGTCTTGTGAAATAGGGTCTTGTATTATAACCCAGACTGACCTCAAGCCCACAATGTCCTTGCCTCGGTGTACGGAGTGCTGAGACTGTAGGTGTGCCCTACCATGCACAGTTTGGGGGCTCCTGGGACCTGTTCCTGTCTTCAGTATTTGTCAGTTTGTTCCAGACCTTGTTGTACTTTGAGACACTCACCGTGTAGCCCCGTGGCCCGGAACTTCTGTGTAGGCCAGGCTGGCCTGGTATTCCCAGTTCCACTTGCTCTGTCTCCTGGGTGAGATTTGCACACGTGGGTTTGCTCCAGGCCTGTCTTCTTTCTGTAGACGGTAGGTCTTGTTGATGCGTCTTCCGTCTCTTTACCTTGGAGAACTTCTCCATTCGTGTACAGTGCCCGTTTGATTTGGCTCAGTGCCAAGTCCTACAGCCTTTGCCTTTTTCAGCCTGGCATTTGAGCTCCAGACTTTGGACGAGGAACGTGGCCCTCCAATGCCAGTGACTTCATCGAGGCTTGTCTGCCCAGTGGCCCGAGTGAAGGCAGGGGTGGTACAAGTCTCCTGGTGGACCAGATGTCCGACAGCTCTTCCCCTTGACACCGCACTTAGAGAGCGTCCATCTGTGGGGGTCAGCAGGAAGACAGCACGTGTGCTGTGGGCACCGAGCCTGTTCCTCAGCATGAGCTGCTCAGGTAGCCGGGTGGTCTCCTGTGGAGACATCCACTTTACAAGCAGCTCTCTCTCCTCATCCGGGCCCCGCAGTCTCAGCTGCTTCCCTTGCTAGTCTCTGGTCCGTCCTTGGGGACCAGCTTCAGCACTTGGGTGAACTGGTGACCACCTGACCACCGGCAGGAGGTGTTTCCAGCTGATTATAGAGACTAGCTGGCTGGACGCTGCAGCCCGCACAGCAGGGGTGGGGGAGGGCTTGGGCTGACAGCTCTCCAGTGCCAGCGCGCTTGGGCCCCCCTCGTCCTCCCTGGGCCTTTGCTTCTCTTAGCCACTTGGGCGGCTACTTTTTATTTGGAGTACATTAATGTTTTGTTGTTTATTTTATTTTATGTGTCTGTGTGCTCACATGAGTTTATGTGCACCGTGAGCATGCTAGAGCCGCAGAGACCAGAGGATAGCATTGGATTCTTTGGGACTGGAGTTAAA